ACACCCACACCCACACGCACCCACACGCACCACGCACACGCACCACGCACACGCACCACGCACACGCACACGCACACGCACACGCACACGCACACGCACACGCACACGCACACGCACACGCACACGCACACGCACACGCACACGCACACGAACACGCACACGCACACGCACACGCACACGCACACGCACACGCACACGCACACGCACACGCACACGCACACGCACACGCACACGCACACGCACACGCACACGCACACGCACACGCACACGCACACGCACACGCACACGCACACTCACACGCACACGCACACGCACACGCACACGCACACGCACACGCACACGCACACGCACACGCACACGCACACGCACACGCACACGCACACACACACACACACACACACACGCATAGGAAGATATGGCTTTCTATAGTACTGTGGTCTACTCTAGTAGTAGTCAATGCTTTACCATTCGTTTTATATTCTTTATTTTCAAGCCCTGAACAAATCCTAAACCGCCTGAACCCCCATATTTCATGGTCTGGCTTCAGGCACGGGGCCTGAACTTGACATATTGACATCCTTTCGGTTCGGAGGAAGCTTAAACTCCTTTCTGGGTTCGTTTCAGGTGTTTATGGGGTTATGGTTCAGGGCTTGGGGCTTGAAGGTTTAGGTCTTTTTTTGAGCTTTGGGCTTTGCGGTTTCGAGTGCAGAAATCAGGAGTTGAACCTCTTCGGATCCTTCCCAACCCTTTGAGCTTCCGTTGAGCCCGACATGCTAGATGCTACACCTTGCCCCAGAACCCCACAACCCCAAGCCCAAAACCCTAAGCCTCTTAGCCCGCAACACTCAGACCCTTAAACTCTGAACCCTAGACGCCCTAGGCCCTACAAGCCGTTTTAGTTTGCACTATAGCCTTCAGAAAGCGGAGGCCCCTGGGCTGTGCAAACCTGCGTTTGCTCGCGTGGGCCGGCGAGGCTCGTCCTGTGGCTGTTTCGCCCAAGCCCGGTTCCAATCATCACCCAAAGCCAGCCTTTGAACCCCATCTCTCCCGAGTCAACCCCCAAACATCCCCAAGCCCATCCAAGCCCCAGATCTGAATCGCCACAGCTTTCACCAGAAGATCCTTCAATGAAGTACTAGAGCAGTCGTCATGGACGTCGATGCTGTCTCGTGATCTCGCGAGCACCCCAACAACCAGAAATGATAGTTTCTGCATTCCAGGCCCGCGCCCGGTTCCGGAAGTCATACCTGTCATACCTGTCATACTTCTTGTATTCCTGAAACGGTCGCATGTGTTTTCCTGTTCTTCTGCTCCCACGGCCCCAAAACAACCCCAACCTTGAAAGCGACGGCTTAACTGCAGCGGTGGAAAGCACGGCCAGGCCTCTCAGAGAAAGTCAAAGGACTCAAGCAAAGTGATGAACCGATTCAGCCAACTCATATTCTGACCGTCTGACTGAAATGTTTTACCTGGTTCTGTGTGAAGAGGGCCAGAACTTGAGCGAGCGGCACGCCTCAGATGTTGCTACGCGTTTGAATGTCAACTCCATGCCTTCTGTGAGTAGAAGAGTCTGTATATCAAGCTTTATCAGCTTCTGCCCGTTGACCAGCTTGTGTACCCCTATATAGAGAAGCCTGTGCAGTCTAGAAGTACAGAATAGCGTCGTGTTCTGAGTTTCCGCGATCCTTGCCAATGAGCAGCGGAACACCTCAGAAGTTTTCACGCATTTGAATGTCACCTCTATGCCTCCAACCGGAGGAATCTGCCAATGGAGCTGTATCTTCTTGCTGCGAACGCGCAAAGCATTTGTCAAGAACTTCCTGTAAGTTGTTTACCGTCAACTTCATATCAACATCTTCATATTTCTTCGTCTCTCGTATCTGACATGACGATAGTTTCGAATTTTCATAAGCATCTCTACCACTCTTTGTGCCCGCTATGCATATACAGAATAGAACTATTGGTATTATTGAATTCTGAGTCGGCTCTTTGGAGTAAAAAAGCGCAAATCCGGAGCAAAGCAGGCGATGCAATGGTGCCGGAAAATGGCACTTGTCCAGAGCTTGAGGGTCCAGTACATTGTCGGAAGTTGGGACTGGGAAATTGTGCAAGGTGGATGTTTGTTTAATGTATGCTACTCATCTTCGGACCAATGTTTGAAAGCGGTGTGTCTTTGTGAGTTCGTTTGCATGTTGATGGTGAGTGGAATGTGCACCAGGCTTTGGGGGGGAATCAGTAAATGCAGATGCATTTGTCATGAACAGCAACTGTCGCCTTTTGGCTTTGTCGGGCACCGGCAACGTAGGGCCCTTGCCCCGCCCATGAGTCGGGCCAAACGAAAGCTTCTTGGAAATGTTATGTTAATGGGGTTGTGCAGACACGCGCAGATTGCAACCGGCATGCCCTTGCGTTCCACACAGCGAGGTTAGTTTGAGACATAGTACGTCGCAGCGGCAGAAAGGCCAGCGTGCACTGGTGCTTGCCCTGTCACTATGCACACGATTCTAAAGCCCGAGTCAGTTAGAAGTTGCTGCTGACCGCCACCTTATCAGGTTGGGCTTACATTACCTTTGTGCACATATGTCATCTGCATGTGTTGCTTGGCTTGTCAGGTTTCCATCACACGCAGGCCCTTTTGGGCGAAGCTGCGCGATTCCCGGTGACGTTGGAAATCATTCGGCCAAGGTGCTTCGAGTGTGTTTCGTGATCGTATGCCGACTCGGTACGTTGTCTAGCTGAAAGCTGAATTCCTCAAGACAGGTTGTTGCTGCAGCGTGTTTTACAGATCCATGTCAATTACAAGAACAGAGGCAGTGGACGTGGCTGCCACAGTTTTCCTTAGATCTAGCTCGTGAAGTGTGGAATGCACCTCTGAACAGGAAGCAAACATGTCAGCACTAGAAGAAGGTGTATGGGCGAGCCCTCACTCGTGCAAGCAAGGCGAACCTTGCACCAGTGCAGTTTCTTCCGCAGTGGCAGCAGACCTCTTCCGACTTGCGCTCCGCCTCCTCCGCAACCTCCTTCGCACCTCGTCTGTCCGCTTGGTCACTCGCAGGCACTCCCATGTGCCCTGGTCCAAGAGTCGGCTGCCTGGGCCTGATTTGATCCTGAGCCACCCCAGACGCAGTGGATGCCACATTGGCGACCAGTCGCCGACAACTTCTAGCTGGCCTTTTGCCTCACGATGGCCTCACCGCTGATGCGGCGGCTTGTCCGTGCAAGCTGGTTGGGCAGGATGTGTGCTCACCGCCTTTTCCCTTGCACAACTTCTGGCCCGGCTTGTCCCTGCATCGACATGGCGCAGCAAGATGTGCACCATTTAGTTGCAGCCGCGGAGTAGGCCAACACTCATGTGTGCACTCATGTGTGCACTCAGGACGACTGTGGTTTCATAGCGAAGCGAGCAGTAAAAGACCAACGCTGCGCTAGTGCAGTTTGTTCCGTATGAAGTTCCAGTATGTATTGGGACGAGTCTGTTTCGCGCTCAGGCGGGCAATTTGTAATTATGGTGGTGCAGCCCTTAGCTAAAGAAAACACTGATCGATCAGGTTGCTTACTGGTCGCCGATTGTTGTCAGTTGTTGCCACGGCTTGGAGCGGGTCAGCAAACAACTTGTGCGGAGGCAAGATTCGTCGCTTTCACAATTCTTTGCATCGTTGACGCAAGCCAAGACCGCGCCTCAGAAATCGGAGTTCAGGATATTTCAGGATGTCGTGTTTGAGAGTGCATGCGTTCAAACTGGGCTTGACATCTTGACATCATGCAGCTTTCCACTTCTTCGGAGGGAAAGGTAGCCATTTGTATCTGCAACAGTCCCTGGCGGCTGAGGTGAGCTCTCTGAAGAATCCCCGCAAGGAGACCGGAAGCTCTTTTCTGTAAGTGTTGTTCAGGTCGGTTGAAGACACAAAGACCGCAGTGGCAACAGCTTCAAGCTTGCCAGGAATTTGACGTTTCTGCAGATGGCCGCCTGCAGGACCGTTTAGTGATTCAGGTTAATGAGTGAGGTGCACTCCAGTGAAGTGAGGCCAGTACTTAGAAGTATGCTGCAAGGAGCAGATGCTGCTGCTACGAGACAAGGCTGTGTCATAGACTTCCTCATGAGCACGGCAAAGATTAACGAGTTTGACTAGTAAATCTTCGAAGCCTGAATCCCAGCAGACGTTCTCTGCAGATATGCCAAGGCCAGTCCTGCGAGGAATGGTGTGGAAGGCCCGTCGTGAATTTGTAGACGTGTTTCCTTTTTGTCTCTCGACCTGCCTTGCAAGCAAGCTAGAAAACTGAGGAATCGCAGCGTCTGCCGACGGCGGGAGTTCATTGCTCGAGCAGGCTCTGCGGGCACTGCTTTGGACATATGGGCTCGGATAGCACATGGTTCATTTGATTCGCATGATGGTTGAATGGTAATCCATGCCGTTCCATGATGCAGATGATGTCATGTGGTCTCACATGGTTTGACAGGTGCGACATGGCATCCCATGATATTGCATGATATGACACGATGATATGCGCCCTTGAGGACGGTGCGGGTGCCGCAGACCTTGGGCTAGGTTTGGAAGGCTCGACCGTGGCAGTCTCGGCCACTCTGGGACATGCCAGATTTAGATGAAAGCTCAAGCATCTTTCAAGAGAACGTGTGGACTCTTCCGGGCCTCGGCGCAAAAAAGCAGCTCGACCTGAGACATTTTCAGGGATTACAAATCTCTTGTCGCCTGAAGCAGGCTACCAGACTGCAGAGGTGTCCCAGGCAGAACAGGGTTTGTGCAACCAGCCTATCATTGTGCAGCAAAGCTCTGTGTTCTGCGTGCTGCCTTGCTAGACTCGAAGGCAAAACCACTGCAGTTCAGGCCAGTGGGCCGTAGTGACAAAGACGACCCTAGTGGCCCAGGATGCCGACGCGGCTGCAGCATCCCAGTTACAGGACTGCCCGAACGTCGGCACTAGCGGCCCTACCTTGTCATCTTGCATAAGACGGCCTGTGATGACGAGGGCACCGACATCAGCAGCATCTTGCTCTCTGGCCTTGCGGAGCTGGACCTTGCAAGCGCTTAATTAGTGGCTTTTAGTGGCGCAGTGGACCACATCCACCTAGGACGCGAGTTTCTGCTCAGACTGTCGCAATCTCTCGACCGCGCAGGAGGACGATGTCGACCTCAAGATTCACAGGGGAAGTGGTGATCTGGGTGCAGAGTCGGTCGTCAGGCCTTCCGTCCAAACTATGGCTTGGATTCCAAGTCCGTGTGGAGATCTGCAAATGCTTCGCCTCCCTTTGCATTTGCATGCTGGTAACGTGCGGGAGTGGAGGGTTCTAGCTTGCAAGAAATTTCTTACCTGGTCGGTGGCCAGGATCAACGCAGAGGGAGATGGCCGACAAGAGGCTGCGCGACTCTATTCCTGGTGACCAGAGGGAACATTAATTATTGAACGTGAGTGAAAGCGCACTCTGACAGGTGAACTTTTGGTCCTACGTGAACTTGGGGGCTGAGACAGGTCGAAGTGAGGAAGCGATGTCGCTTGGGTGCGGTCGGTGTAATCTCAGAGCTTGCAGAGATGTGCGCTCAACGAAGTGCAACTGGTGGTTTCCACTCAGGCGACCTTCCGCGATTCAGCTGAGCACCTTGGGGGATGCCACTTCTGCCATTGGGTCAAGGAGGTTCCTTAGCGGTGGCTTGATCCCTTGATCCTTTGAAAAGGAGATTCAGCCTCAATCGTTTTCGTGGGAGGTCGTACAAGGTGGCTGCTGCCATAGTCGGCTTGTCCGAGTCAAAGGCCGGATGCTTAATTTATGCATTGTGCCGTGGGGCCAATGTGATGTGGATGTACGTTCCCCTATGTGTGATGCATGATGAGTCCCAGTTGCAGTGTTCCGTCTGCCAGCTGAGTGATTAGCATGGTATGGCTTAGGCCACAGAATGGAGCAACCTGGCACTCGCTGGGAAAGCCTTCATTGGTCACTTTGCTTGAAGAAGCCCCCTAAACTCCAAATTGATGCAAGGAAAGCTCTCCGGATACACAGGAGCTACGGAACGAGGAAGTTGTAGTTTCAACTAGTCTCGACTGTCCTTGCCAATGCCGCCGTGATCTGCTGAAGTCTCGTAGCATCGGTAGTCTAGAGTATGAGACAGACGACCTGCTAGATCTCCGAAGCATTGGTCCAGGGACTGGGGGACAACGGGCATGTCAAAGCTTTCCAGGCATCTTTCGGAATGCATCTGAAACGGCACCGGCTCGGTGGAAGATCTACGCTGCGCAGCCTGCTCAGGCTCGGGTCGCATCCGGCTTGCGCATACCTATTTCCTTTCTCACCCAGCTTTCTCTCGGCCTGGGCTGGGAGACGCACAGCACATGCCATGAAATGGCGTCGAGACAGGCGAGCATCACAACGATGAAGAGCCAGCAGGCGGAGGTTCCTATGGTCCATCCGCAGTGAGATTCAGCTCTAACTAATCCTGGAAAAATCGGTTGGTTGCACTGGTTACACATGGTTTCAAGGAGCGTGATCCCTTGCAGCTGCGTGGTCTTTCTGCATGCTCATCGCAATCCTTGCTCTGGCTGCATTCAGCTTTGCATCTTTTGCGTTGACATCCTGGCAGGGTGAGGTCTTCAGCCGCAACCAGATTCAGATGCTCAGATTGGGTGTGGATTTGCTTGTGAGGTTTCCTTATGCATGTGTCAGTCGTCGGCAGCAGACATGCTAGTTCCAGTTAGTGTGGTCTTTGTGTGATCTTTGCATGCAAGTGCCTCCTGAAACACCAGCACATCAGAGGACGTTCACCTCTCTGCAGAACGACGTGGTGCAGCTTACCAGCTCTGGATTCTTGGCACCAGCATATTGAGTTGCAGGATATTCAGTTGCGTGAGTCTGTTCCCAGTGTCAAATCTTCTTCTCTTGGAGTTGTTCGTGTCATTTATTTGCATAGATATCGCCTTTGTTTCGAGCACTTTAAGGAGATGTCGTAGTGCAGTCCGTGGAGGGAAACTCGGATTTCCTTCAGCTGGCGCCGGTGGACGAGGCGCAAACGGCACAAACCTTCCTAGAGCACTGCAACCGAGAGCACTCCTTGAAAAGCATGTTCAAAGACGTCCTTCTGCTGGAGGCTGTGTATGGCGTTTGCAACGAGTACTGTGCCGTGATGGCCTTCGACCGCGAGGTCGGGAGGCTGCCTCGCAGCCAAATTGGCAGATAGTCTGGGCATGTCTGGGCCACTTGTCAGGCTCAGTTGCTCATGGAAGAGTGTGTCGATGGTACGACGAAGACATACGACGCCTCCGCAATGATAGATGAGACCTACTGGCCACTCGCCTTGAACGGTCACCCAACATCGGCAGGTGCAGCTTGTCACGTTCAGTCGTGGCAACAAGCAGCCACAGTTCCATAATTCTGTACAGGAAGTTGAGACTTTGGAAAGGAGTTTGTTTCGCTTCGAGACCAAGCTGAAGGTTGGGGCGGCCGTTAAACGCTCCTCCAGGGCCACGCAGCCCATGCTGGCTGGGTTCAATTCACAGTTCGACAGCAAGCTGCAAGATGTAGCAGTCCGTGTTGAGACAACCCGTCTGCCGTGCATCATGAACTCCAAAATTCTGGCGGCACAGCCAGCTGCGAACGACGAAAAGCCTACTCGTGGTTTCATCCTGTTTTAATCGGCCCACTGGAGCATCGTGGCCGAGGCTCATATCGACAATGGGAAAGGTGTGCCGATGGTCTACCAGCGGTTGGGGGCTGAGTCGAAGGGCGACTGTTTGAGATGTCTTGCGGACAAGGTTTCCGTCCTTCGTCCTTCGCTGGATTGCGAATCTCCTTCGCTCTGAGCAAGAAAAGGGTGTGTGAGCACGAGTTTTGAGGCGCGAAGATTGCTGGCACCACCCGCAGCGATGCCCCTGGCAGCAAAGCCTCGATGACCTTGCTCCCTGCGGCCTACTTCCAGGACTGACCTTTCGTCTTCCAGACTTTGTTAGCTGACATACGATCTCGTGGCACAAGGCTAGCAAGAAATACCCATGAAAGATGTGCTCTTTCCCTGAGGATCTGACGCTCTTTCCTGTTGCTCTCAGCCATGTGCAGATCCTTGGCTAGTGCCTATAGCTTGTGTTTTTGTTACAAGGATTCTCCTTCATCAGCTTGACTTTTCCAGTCTTGTGTCGAAAAGCTTTGTCGACCTTTGTAAACAGCGAGCCCTCACTTTTGTCACTCCTTGCGAAGCTGGAAGAAGCCCAAGGATCATTGGAACACAGGCCGGAACCTGCGAGGCCAACAGATCTGCCGCTCGCAAGCCCCCTTCTCTTATTCTCTCAGCGAAGCCTTAGCCGCGTTCAGCCCTGATGTCGTGCCCAAGCCACCCCAAACCCACCCTTGTGAGCCTGTAGTTGCTCCAAATCCTCTGAACTCGGAGCCCTTTAGCAGTTGGTTGGTCGCGGCTAAGGGGGTTGAGGATGCTTTGAGGGCAAAAGCCGCAGAACGGTGTGATCCCGCAGTGTGCGAGCCCACGACAGACACACGCTCCTGACTTTTGCCATCACGAAACCCAACCCCAGAACCCCAGACGCAGGGCACCCGCATCTACAAGCATCCGCTTAAGCCAACTTTCGTTGCGAGCCTCCCCCCCCAAGCCCCCCACCAAACAAAAATGAAGGCAGCAAAAACAGGGTCCAAGTTCCCCGAAGGCTGCGGGCCAGAAGTTCGCCTTGACGGGTACGGGCCCGGCGGGGGCCTTAGATCCAAGGTGACTTCCCGAAGGAGCATCCCAAGGGCTAAAGAGGCAAAAAGAGACTGCGAAAGCTGAAACACCCCCTCCAAATGCTGATCCTTGGATTCGGTCATGGCCCAGGTGTTCTCGGCCGAGCTCGACGAGGTTGCGGCAAAGTCAACACTCTTCTGCAACACGCCAGACGCCTGTCTGACATTGTTCGGCTGATGCCCGAAGTGTTCTGGTTAGGGGCTCCAAGATCAGCGAAGTGATGCGACGTTGGTCCAAGTGCAGCCGTGGAGTTGACGGGTCAGACTCATGTGTAGAGTGCTGAGCCGATGAACTGGAGGGACTGTTCCGCGAGAAGTTGTCAATAAGACACGGCCATCTGCACCGTATCCAGGATTTCGTGGGTTTCACAACGGTTTAGCACATGTTAGCACGCTTTCAGGGATTTGGGTCTTCCATCTCCCAGGTGATGGTGTTCGGCATCGCAGGCCCTGGATCGCTGTTGCAAGCGGCATCAGACTTATGGGACTCTGGACATCACTGGACCCATGTAGAGTCCCTTCTGTCGCTTCCCGGAATCGGCCTGCCAGTGGTTACGTCCCAATGTCCAGTTTCGTGTACCTGAGCTTGAAGCATAGCGTGGCCGCAGGATGGCATGACTGTTTGCACAGCGAGCCTCCGGCGCAGTAACATGTTGCGTCGGGGACAAGATGGCCCAGTCCTGGTCAGGTGTTGGAGACGCAGTTCAGCTTCTCAACTCTCCGTCCACCAGCCCTGTTGCCTACACGAAGTATGCCAACGGCCGCTCGGTGAGGGACCCTCAGGCCTAGAGCCACTCCCCTAATCCCTACACTCCCGCAACCCGCAGCCTCAGAGAGTTAAGCAAGAGCAGCGAAACAAGCATCGGGGGTTTGAGCTCCAAAGGAGTGCTTTCAGGATTTAGGTAAACATGAGTCTAATAATGCGGTCTTGAAGGTGTCCCGCAGCTAGCTCTTAGAATATAGGTGTGAGCGACAACAATAAGCGAACGTGAATGAATACGCGCTCCATAGTATAGTGCATATCCCAAGACTTTTCGGAGCGCAATTAAATGTTAATTATAATATTGTGGGGGCTACAATTGTAATTGTAAACGCTTGCGCGCGCCGCCTCGGCAGCCGGGCCTACTGCACATATCGTGAACTTGAACATTTTGGCAACACCTTAAAACCGCTCAACCAATCTTGGCACCTTCGTGTTCACCCCCCATCACCCGTGCTTCCCATGCTGCCGCTTCTGAGATGGCATGACTCCGATGTTGGGTTGTTTTGCGAAAGCCTGGCATCAGTAAGACCCACGCCGTCTCCAAAAGCTTTCACGCTCATGGACACTCCCACGTGAAGATCCAAAGCACCTACACAAATCGTCAACGACGAATCTCTATGAAATATCTAAGTAACCTTGGATTTTTCTCTGCAAGGTGTCTGTGACACAGAAGACAAGTTTGACAAAGACACGTTGCAAGAGGAGCAGAAGTTCTTGTGAAACATGTCGACGACTCACCTAGTGGAAACGGCACGGCGTCATCGTGCAACATTTGCATGAGAGTTCATTGGTTCTCCTTGTGCTTGACATAGACTCGAGCAAGTGGCAGTGCCGTTGACCCGCAAACAGGAGCATCCGGAGCTAACAGATGGGAAGACGTTGGAGTGGAAGCTGAAAACAACGAAGGAGAAGCCAGGCGGGCAGATTGCAGTATCTTGCACTAATGTAGGCTGAGTAGGCTGTGACACGCATGTCTGTGGCAGAGCGGTGCTAGGTGTCTGCAATGTGGACTCACTGGACGAGTGCTTCTCTTTGTGCTCGTCGGTAAAGGTGGCTGAGCATCAGATCATCGTATCTTCAAAGTGATTGCCAATGTCCTGCGCAAGCTCGGGAATCGTTTCAGCACTTTGCCATGGATGCCCAGCCAAGGATTGCAAGTTCTTTGCTACGCACTTTGCGGTGAACTGCAAAGCCTGCTTGCTGTTTAAGTTTCTCAGCCTGACTCAGCAGAGCGCAGAGCAGAGTATAGAGCGTAGAGCAGTCTCAGAGTAGTCTTGTCCGCATTGTGGATTCACCTAAGGAGTTGCCAATCCTTCGGGTCCACATCGTTGGTGCAGGATGACGGGGAAGGCAAAGTCGAAATTGAGCTCCCAGCTCCCACTGCTTGAGACGAATCCTGAACCACAGGAGCTTGGGAGCTTAAGACAAGGCGCACTTGAATCGGGATTCAAAGCAACACTCTGCTCTGAAACAGGCGAAGCCGGCGAAGCCCATGGCTCTGAGGGCGAAACCGAGTTCCAGCGGTACGACATCTTCCAAGTGGAGCAGTCGGACATTAAAGGCCCAACGACACATTAAGCCTACACCTTGAACCGGAAAGATGGTTCTGTGCATTCGCGCGTTCCGTGCCCTGATTTTGCGAGACACTGCTTCGGATGTGAACCTCATCAAGCCTCCTGCTTGCAGACGGTGGTTCCCTAGCCACATGTCATGAGATGTCTAAGTCTAGGAGTTCGACGCTTCCAGTCATGAGATCCTGAGCAATTTGAGAAGACCAAATTTTTTTCTCCAGTCTGGCAAAAAATTCAGGGTCCCCTGCGCTACATGAGGAGAGTCGCCATCTGCTCAGGAATCCGATGTTTACTGATGGGAAGACGGGCTGGACTGATTTGTGCCCGCCGCCTCCCCGGGTGCACGCAGAGTTTTTTCTGCGGTTCAAGGGACATACATGTATATATATATATATAGAAATATTTACTTGTCTTTGGATCAGAAGCACCGTGATTCAGAAAATGTGAGGCTAAGGAGGAATAGACGTTACAGGGTTTGCTTTTCTCCATGTACAGCAGGGAAGCACTGTCGGCCGAAACTTGGCCACCTCAAAGAAGGTTTGGCTGCCTTGCCCTTTCCCCATACTTCACGTGTTGGCTACACCGAGGTCCTTTCACCGCCAGTCAGATCTGTTCAGGGTAATCATGATGTGGTCAAGATTCTAGATTCTAGATTCACACGTTCATGCATTCAGTCACCCATTTGCTTCCAGATGGTTCGAGTATCTTTATGCCTTTCATGCATGAAGGAAGGTAACCTTCTTCTGTTCAGGGTGAGATGTTTTTGCTAGCTTGCGCGTTTTTCAGAAGCTGTCACCTGCAGTACTGCAAGGCCCATGATGTACAATGGAAAGAACCTCTCGTTCGAGTGCAAGAACTCGGGTGTGTGGGACAGTGTGCCCGAGGCGGTCCAGCCACAACAGAGCCGATTTGCATGTCTGCGCAGGCGTTGATGCATCCTGCATCTTTCCTTCATTCCTTCAGTCCTGATGTGATGCACCCCCGCAAGTTTTGGCTCAGCGCCGCAAGCAGTGAAATAGGACGCAGTGAGGGGCAGCTTGGTCCCTGTGCGTCCCGGAACATGGTCATGGACACGGCATCAGCAGAAACTCTTTGTGGAACAGTGCTTGTGACGTGTCCTGAATGGGAACATGTTTCTTATTCCCGAGAGCATGCCAGCTGTTGCTGTTGCTGCAGCCCTATCTTAACCACCAGGAAGCCCCTTGCGCTCAGGATCTTGCCCTTTGTCTGACCTGTTTCGCCATCGCTGCACGCGTGCTGCTGGGAAGTGTGGGGGAGCCTTATTGAGAATCATTTGCAGGGGGTTTAGGCCGATTTAGGTCATCAGAGTTCAAGTTTCAGGACCTTTCTGTTCTTCAGAAATTGCATCTTGCTTGCGTGTGCCTTCCCGTGTGCCTTCCTGCATGCGCAAGGAACGTAGCAGGAGCAACGCTCGACACCGGCTACTCTTTTACTTGTACTTGTCGCCTGGTTGCAGCTGTCAAGAGCAGGCAGTGATCCCCCCGTCAAAAAAAGGAGAAGAATTTCAAGACAGCTGGAAGGAAGCTGAAAGAATCTTTCTCTCTCGCTCTTTCTCTCCATCCCTCAAAAAGGCCGACCGACCTAGGCTCTCCCTGGGCCTGATGCTCGCGGGTGTGGGCCGTGCTGCCACGGCTTTGGCCCGCTCCACGAAGCCCGGTGTGTCCGCGACCAGCGCTGAGCTGCTCCCACCCGTGGTGGCGTTACCCGGGATGTTATGTAGCAGGCGTGCGGTAGGTGCTTGAGACCCTGCCAGAAGTGCTGAGGAGGACCAGGCAGCACTAGCAGTATAGTACAAGATAGCAGAGCAGCCGCTAGAGTAGCCGCAACAAGAGCTTCTGTATCACTTTCGGATACGATGGCATGGCAAGCTATGCAAAACAACAACACGACATGTTCTGCCAGACCAGCGTACAAACGATTCTGCAATTTGCTGGACGTGTGGGAATTCCTCATCTTTAGCGTTGCCTCGCACATCCCGTCGATTTGCACGGACTGGTTAGATACTGAGAGAGTTGAGAGACTCCCGCAAACCACCCCTGCAAGCCCGAAGAAGCGTTGTTGGTGGCTGGGGCATGCGCTGCGCGCTCAAGATCTGCCGACATGATCCGAGGCTGGCGGCCTCGTTGTTGAGTATCGCTGCTGCATCCCTTCTGGCACTGGCAGCTCCACGGCTGGTGCGACAGTTGGAAGAGGCGATCCCTGTCATTTCTTGGCTGCTCTTCTCAGCACTATTAGAATGTTGAGAATCTTCGCTTGCCGAGTTGCAGTCCTTCGTGTCTTATCCCTGCGAGGAGCCATCGGATCCAAGGGTCGGTGATCTCGAGAAAGGCAGTCCCTGCGCGGTGGAGGCCGGATGTTTTGAAGAGAGGCCCGAGATTTTAAAACGTGGTGGCTCTGTCAGACCTGCCAGGGATGGTTTTTTTGGAAGTGAAGTATAATCGTTTAATTATGGACTTTGCCACAGTATAGCCAATTCCTTTATGATCTTCATGGTTTTTGTAAAACAAAGTTGTGGATGTCACTATCATGAATATCCCATGAAGAAGATATATGCATTTTCAAGTATTTCTAGATTTATGTAAGTAACTTCTACTTTCTGGTGTAGTTTTTTTAACTGTCATTCTGGATGCGTTTCATCATAATAAATTAACTTTCAAATCAATTTTTTGTAACAGTTGAACTAAAAATTAGCCATATGTAAGAATAAGAGCCTTGGCCTATTTTTGTTTTAATTTTAACGCTACGCGACCCACCCCGGCCCGGCCCAGCGCATCCGCGTGAGCATGGTGATTCCGCAGCGCCCAAGTCGCTGGACCCCAAGCAATAAGGG